TCGTTGTCGCTCGACTCAGTCCCGGGCTTTTTCGGGGACTTAGTCTCCCTCCGTTGGTGGGTCGGCGGCTCGCGGAGAGATTTAACTTGATGAAGGAACGGTCGTCACAGGGTTCGTCTTTCATTTGTTGGATGTCATGTATGGTTTCTTGGCCGACCGACCGGCCGGCCAGCCCGCCCGCCCGCAGGCAAGCTCGCGGCCTCGCTCCCTCATTCGCCCTACCTCCTTGGCTCCCGGCTCCTCGCTATTCCACTCATATATCAGATAGGTCAACCGTCGACTCGCTGACTGGCTAGCCGGCTGGCTGGCTCGCCCGCCCTTCTGACCGTCGACTCGGTCAGGCAGAATTAAAGACAGACGCAGCGCCGCGCCGGCAAGAAGCCTGCTGACTGAGTGAGCCCGCGGAACGACTGGACAGCCCGTTTACCAGCTTGCACGCTTTCCAGTTAGCACAGTGCTCAGCCGGGCGCTGTTCGCGCGGGCGAGCCTTCGGCCGCCCGGCTTGACAGCTCGGGGAACGCTGCGGCGGGAACGAGCGAAGAAAAATCTCCCAAGCAAAAACAAAGCCCGGCGAAACCAAAACAACCGAGGGCAGAAACAAAAATCAGAGGCACGCAGCATCAATAAACAAAGCCGAACGAGGTGTTGTTATCGTCTCCACTTACACTCAATCGCTTGCGACCGTGTATCACGAGCCGTCCCGTGATCGAGGGACTCTGACAGTGCGGAATGAATGGATACATAGATGGATGGAAGCGAAAGCTTGAATCGCCGACGTGGTCGATGCTGCTTGATCTGAGAAAACGTGTCGTTTTTCGTTGTTCGGTTTCCGCTCTCTCAATCAGTTCAATTAACGATAAGAGACGATCGAAGCCCGTCGTGTCCGTCCCCAATAAACATCGACGTTGATGACTGTTTGATGAGCTGTCGGTCGATCAGCTCACCTGATTCATTCGTTCCGTGGCGATTGACCCGGATGCGCGCGAGTGTGATTCGTCTTCGTGCAGACATGTAGTATGCGGACGTGGGTATGGCATATCGATAGATGTTCCGCGTTTCGCCCATGAATGTATGTCTGTCCAGTATATTTCCGCGGGAATATATGCTCTGAGGAGCATACGTTCGAGCCTGCCGACAGATTTACTGCTGGCTCCGAGTAACCATAAAGGAAGGCTATCTACGAGAGCATTTACGCAGCTTGTGGCCGAGCTCGGAACTTTGCAGCTCAATCCCACACGGGAGAAACTCTCGCGTTCACTTTGCACCTCGGAAAAATAGAACGATATTTCTCGGTCGAATCTCTGTGCTGATAACGATGGCACCAGAGCGAGGGCGAGCATCGCATCAACGCGTGATAGAGCTACCAGAGCTCTGTCATGTTGGCGTCCAATCGATATTCCCTCTCGATATTCGGCGAAAGAACAAGGCACATCCTCACGGGGAGGGAAACTTATACGAGGACTGAGTACGAAGAGGAAGAAGAAAGGGAACCTCTTAACGAAATGGACACTCAAAACGAGAGAGGGTAAGAGAGCTAGCCATTCAGGGAGAACAATAGCGAACGACAACACGTTTAGTTATATACTGGTGAGGCACTCGACCAACCGACGAACGAAGGGACGCACGGAACGAACAGCTCCTGGTATCACAAAAGCAAGACATCCAGGCTCGAGCGTTCCTCGCTTGCGTGCTGGCCTCCTTCCTGCTAACTCGTCGGCCCGCTAACTGAATGTCCGACGAAGGCGTGAGAGCTTTATCTGACTCAAGCTGAACTTCATTACTCTTCTTCATCCTTCGCCGCTACTCGAGTCAGCGAGCCTGTTCGTCCTTCAGTCACTCAGCTCGTTCCTGACCTGGCTGGAAAATCTTCGCATCGGTCCCGGCTGCTCTCGGACTTCGGAAAGTATTACTTAAACGCGATAGTCGGATTCCTCGTCAGAGACACCTCAGCATCCTGGGCTCCTGAACATCGGCGGGATTTGAATGCCCACTGAAGGGGACATCTAGGCTCACTCCTTTTTGTTCCGCGGGAGACGTCGGGATTGGTTGCGGAGGAAGCACGTAAAAATCTCTTGCCCTTGAGACAAATAAACAAGCTGATCAAGGAGATTATTTGCTGTTCCCCGCTGTCACTGCGATGAGTGTTCTCCAGACCAGAAGAGGCATCGACCGACGTTTTTCTATGTCGGCTCACTCGTCTCCTGTCACAGTGCAGCGATTCGGATAAAGTTCTCTGCCGAGAACGTATCAATTCGATGCTTGAGACTTCTCCGATGCCTTCAGCGATTAGCCGAGTAACTCGACGGGGATCAGAGAGGAGATCAGACGATGACATGGAAACCAAAGGGACAGAATTATGATGAAGATGATCTCGGTGCAGATAAAGAGTTGCGACGAGTTCTAGTGTGGAGGACGATACCAGGCTTGGATAAGTCGCCGCCGATGCTTCTCTCGGGGTTGCAGTGTGATTTCTGCAGGGTAGAATTTGGACGATCGGATGTGGGGAATCGGTGATGGGAACTCTCGTTCTACGGCACGTCAGATCGAGTAAAGCAGGAGGAGAACTCGAGAAAATTGAAAACGATCGATGTTCTCGCTCAAGAGGTACTGCTGCACAACCACAGGAATCGCACATACGTCTACACGGGTTCTGGCAATGGGGCGGGGTAAATTCATGTAGAAATCGGGAAGACCTGCATGATGTCGCTCCATCTAATGTAAGTAGATCCATGCCACCGTTCGGCTTCCCGCTTTCTCTCCGAAGACGTACGGGCCGCGCCGTCCCCCTCGATAGCGAGCCTATCGCTCATCGAAGTGCAGAGCGAACGACTATCGACAAGCATTGGGAACAAGCGTTCGCTGCCTCCGATGAATGCCTCGGAGGAGTTCCTCGACGAATGCTCCCGGAATTGCCCCCAAGCTGGAGCCTCACGGTACTGTACAGTCTGTGAGAGGAGCTCGAATCGCTTGAGGAGCTCTTGAGAAATCCACCAAGTTCGCTCTCAGAATTATTTGGAGACGGTCGCAGGCCGTATGCAGCCGGTCAACTGAATCACCGTTCGGACGAAATACGGCGGTGCGAACGCGCTCGTGGACGGGAGAGCGGAGCGCCATACAGACGAGCACATGGACGGATGGGCGAACATGGAGGCGGGCGAGCAACACAGTCTCATTACATTCATGTATGCATGCACCTCGCCGTCGTTATCGTTGCTTGCGCGTCGCAAAGGTACCCTTATCCATGCGTTTGTCTCACTACAAACGTCTGTCCCGCTGTCTTCCCATGCAGCCGTTGTACCGTCTCCTCACACGAACGGGCGAAATACGTACATCCCCATGAGAAACGACGATACAAACGTGGGCGACCCGTTCAGGCGCTATGCCTTGAGCCCATCCTCTGTCGAAGGGGAGGAAAACTCACAGGAGAGACCCCCGATGGTCCATCCCAATGGTGAATCGCCGAGCAGCGATCCACTCATTCGGGAGCAGGAGGCTCCCCGTCGAACCTCCAACCCGCTCCGTGTTTAGTAGCTCGAGCCTCCAGGCGGGCGGGTGATGGCGTAACGGGGTGGTCAGGGTTCGTTTCGCTTAATATGTGCTACAAGGTGGTAAAGCTCGCTGCTTCGAGTGCGATGGCGAGCGGTGGCGAGTGCCGAGTGCGAATGAGCTCCGGTCGGCGTGGAAGCGTTTTTACCTCTCCGGTTGCCCTCTTTATTCGACGTCTTTCTTCTCGTATGCACGCCCCCGAGAGCACGAGTCTGAATGCGAATGCATGATGTGTTCTCACCACGTAATTGGTCCTTGAGCGAATTAGGAAAATCCGACAGGGTCGGGCTCGCAACTTTTCCTTGCTTTCGGATCTCGGTCGATGAGAGGAATTTGCCCGTTACTCATCCGGGAAATCCGAGGATCCGGAGATACTTGCCAACTTTCTGACTTAGACCCCGTTTCAGAAAGTTCGGCTGTGTCGAACAACATTGTTCTGCGAGCCCCTGAAGCGATGAGTGGATGCGTGCTCGCATTCGGTCGCCTCAGTCAGACGAGCCCTCGGAGATGTCTATTTTTCGGCGATTGCTCCTGCAATTCCGCAGCATCGCGACTCTTGCGAATGAAAATTGTACCTCGGCCCTCGTTGCTAATGACTGAGCCTAATTACTCAGTGTGGCCGTGCGTACGTGCGCGGATAAACTTGCCTGTCTACGCAAGTGCGTCGGCATCGGTGAATGTAAACGCAGGTATATAATAACAAGGCTACTGTCTCAGGTGCGCTAAGCCCTAATAGGCTCGTTCGTTCATTCGCTGGTTTTCGTTGCCTAACATTCGCTACCTATAAGCCCTCTGCTCCTTCTCGTCGCCGTTGCCGCTGCCTTTTCCGTGTCGGATACCACTCGGTCGGCTACTCGGCGGGTATCGACTTTCCGACCGGCACGGAGCCAGAGCGCGCAAGCAAAAGGAGCCAAAACCTTATTTAGGCCCCATCTCCGACGTCGTCGAGGAGAATGTACACCCATTGTATAATAAACAGTATCCCGCGATGAATGAGCTCGGCCAATCACAGGATCAATGGGCTCGTTCCCGTATCATTGCGTTGGGAAACTTATAAAAGGATTAGTATAGTAGGGTGGGAGCTCTCTCGAACTTCTCCGAATAAGTCGCAAATGCATACACGTTCTCCGCTAGACGTAGAAACGCGTGTAAGCCGTTCAGGGAGGGATCAGACGGAGTGCCACATCCGATTTCGGGGCGAACTCCCTCCCGCTTCCCCGCCTGCCCTTGAAACTCTGGAACATGGAGCATGGAATTCAATTTACTGCTTCGAGAGTTCTCTTTTATTCGATTGATGACTTCTTCGTTCTCCTTTCCAGGTATGGTGGAAATTAGCGCCGGTCGATGATGGAAGCAAGCTCAAGTACCCGAAAACCGGAATCGACGATGAACGAGACGACAACATGATGAGGGGGACGAAAAGCTGAAACGCGCAACCTGGAGAAAGGAACAAGATGGCGACACAGAAATTCTGTGCGCTGGCAGTCACCGTTCCGGGCATCGTGCTGGCTCTGAGTCTCCTCGGTCGAGCTCAGAACGCCAGCCGCTTAACTAGCGGCTGCGTCGGTCCCGACGTGGACATCACGCCCTGCCTCTGCTACGACTTCGAAGACGCGTTGTTCCTCGAGTGCGCCGACGTCAGCGAAGAGCGGCTCCGTAACGCCCTGTCGAAGATCAGCGGGCCGCTGAAACAGCTGACGTTGGTCAAACTCGACGTCGTGGGAAACGTGTTCCCCAAGGGAATGTTTGTCGGCCAAAAGATCTCGACGCTGCACATCTCGAACAGTGCGCTGCATCGACTCGACGACGGCGCGTTCCTCGGTCTCGAGAACTCGCTTCTGTCGCTGACGATCTCCAACTGCGATTTGAAGGAGCTGCCTCGCGGAGCAATCAAAAACGTGAAGGCCCTGCGTTCGCTCGAGTTGGATTCGAACTCGATTGTCGACGTCGAGAGCTATTCGTTCTATGGGCTGCAACTCAAGTCGTTGATGCTGCACAACAACCAGATAACGCAGTTAGCCGAGTTCGCGTTCGGCGGACTCGAGTCCTCGTTGGAGGATCTCAACCTAAGCAACAACCGCCTGCCGCTGTTTCCGTTCATGGCATTGCGGCGACTGCAGGCCCTCAAAGTGCTCAAGCTGGTCGGCAACCTAATCGTGGACATCATCGACGACGGACTCACCCGATTCATCAACTTACACACGGTCGACCTCAGCCAGAACCGGCTCACGTCGCTCACGAACCGGAGCCTCGCCTCGATGCCGCGGCTCCGGTCGCTGTCGCTCTACCAGAACGAGATCAGCCTGGTGGCGAACGGGACGTTCGAGCACAGCCGTGAGATCGAATCGCTCGATCTGGGCCAAAACTTTGTGCGCTTACTGCATCCGTCGGTGCTGCGGCCGCTCAGCCGACTGCGAACCATCGAGCTGGGCTTCAACCATTTGCATGGCGTCGACGACGGCCCCTTCCAAAACATGGCACAGCTGCGCGAGGTGTTGCTATCGAATAACAATATCCTCCGGCTGCGCAATGACACCTTCACGAACTGCCAGAACGTATCGATTTTGTTTGTGCCCAACAACGCCATCGAGCACATTGAGCTAGGCGCGTTCCAAAGCCTCGAACACCTCAGCCAACTGCAGCTGTCATTCAATCGACTGCGGAGCGTTTCAGCAGTTTTGTTCCGCTACAACGCCGAGCTCAGGTCGCTGTCGCTGGATAACAACCTTCTGACCGAGCTCGAAGTCGGCACTTTCCGAAAGCTTGACGAGCTGCGAGACCTCCGCCTGCAGCACAATTACCTGAAAAAGGTCCGCCGCGGAGTGTTTTTCCCGCTGGCGAATCTCGAGGAGCTTCATCTGCAAAACAATCGCATCGAGTCAATCGAGCCCGAGGCGCTGGCCGGCCTCGCCGCTCTGCAACACCTCAACCTCCAGGGTAACAAACTGCTTGAAATTCACGACATCCTCATCCGGGTGGGCTCGAATCTTCGCTCGCTGTTCCTTAGTTTGAATCAGTTGAGCGATCTGAGCAGTCTGAGTACGCCGCTGAGTCGGCAAACGAAACTCGAAATGCTCGAAATTCGTTCGAACAAGCTCCGACGGCTCCGGGTCGACATGTTCCGAGACCTGACATCGACGACTCGACTCTACCTCGACGGAAACAACGTCGCCGATATTGAGGACGGCGCATTTGAAACTCTCGCCGAATGCACATTCCTAGATCTGAGCGGCAACAGGCTGAAATCGCTCCGGGCCGCCCAATTCCGAGGTCTCCGTGCTCTCGAGGAACTCTCCCTCCAGCGGAACAACTTGACCAACCTGGCGAAAGGTTCATTCTCTTTCTTGACCCGTCTCCGGCTGCTCAACTTGGCCCACAACCAACTGGGCGCTATCGGGGCGGACACGTTCGGCCCGATGCCCGGCCTGCAGTCGTTGAATTTATCCGACTCGGGTCTGAACTCGATCGAGAACGGGGCGTTCGACGGTTTGACAGGTCTCGAGGTACTCGATCTCTCGGGAAACCCCATCAAGGTGTTGCGCCTCTCGGGTCTGAGCCAGCTGCGGCTGTTACGGCTGGCTTCTACGAGTCCCTCGAAGCTGGCCGAGGGTTTGTTTGACAAAATGACCTCCCTCGAGGAGCTCGACTTGTCCGCGTCGCACATCAACCCAAATCGGGTGGGCTTATTCGAACGACTGAGCTCATTGCACACGCTGCGCGCGGGGCACAACAACATTTCATCTTTGCGACAGGGACTCCTGAACGCCCTGCCTCTGCGGGAGGTCTCGCTCGAAGGAAATTCTCTCACGGCCATTCCTACCGAGTCAATTAACGCTCAGGTGGAAACGCTCCGTCTGGCCGGAAACAACATAACGATTCTCCGGAGCGGATGCCTCAAAGGCTTCAACGCCCTAGAGCGGTTAGACCTGTCGAGTAATTTGATCGGTTCAATCAATAACGACGTGTTCGACGAGTCGGGATTGCGTTTCCTCGACCTCAGCTCGAACCGGCTCCGAACGTTGCCCTACCACCTGTTCAGGAACACCACCGGCTTGGAACAGCTTGATTTGGACGCGAACGACTTCTCCTACATACCGAACGCGATTGTCGACGGCGCCGTCCAGATGGGCAAACTGCGAGTTCTGAAACTTTCCCGCAACCCCATGACGCGGGTGCGGGAGGATTTCGCCAGCGGCGGTCTGCTCCCAGCGCTCGAAGAATTGGATCTGTCTTTCGGGAACGTGTCTATTCTCGCGACGAACGACATGCACAGTTTCCCGGAACTGACTCTGCTGACGTTCGCTCACAACCGCATCAATAAGGTCTCACCCGGAGCGCTGCGTCCACTCCGGCGTCTGGTTTCGCTGGACCTCAGCGACAACCACATCGAGGTGCTCCCGACCGAACGGCTCCAGGGTCTGTTCGCGCTGAGGCATCTCAATCTCTCCCAGAACAAATTGACAGAGCTGCAGGCGTTCCCGGTCGATTTGACGCAGCTCGAGTCGCTGGATATCGCGAACAACAAACTAGTTAAAATTCAAGAGATCGTTCTCGATACTCTTACGGGACTCAAGCGGCTTGACTTGAGCAACAACAACATCCGGTGGGCGGCCGCGGATGCTTTCAACAACCTGATCGTGCTGGAAGAGCTCAATCTAAGCAGTAATAATCTCATGTACTTCAGCCAAAGTATGTTTCACATCATCGAACGACGCCTCAGCAAACTGCTGGTCACAGGTAGGTGCTCGCCAGAGAAGAAACTACGCAGAAAGGAGATGGACGCGTTTCGAATCCTTCCCGTTCCGATGGTCGTTCGCTCCGCTCGGCTTGGAGCGGATTCGGTTTATTTCTGCTCCCTCCTAATTTTCTTTCTTGCTGCTTCCTACTCGCATCTCCCTCGACACCGATTCACCGTGTTCCGCCGCTTCTCGTTTGTTTGTGTGGCTCTGTTTCTTCTCTGAGCTTTTCCATTTTCCTGTCTTCCTTTTCCTTCCCCACCATTCGATAACGTCGGTCCCTATTTTTCCATGTCATGATTGTTCCGATTCCAAGCCGAAGTGTCTGTATTTCGGGGCTCTCTCTTTCTGCTCTCTCTCCCGCTTTCCCTCTCTCAGCATTCGCTCACAATCGGTCGCCGGACGCCCCAACAAAGAATTCTCACTCGGAGCAGAAGTTATTCCGCGAATTCCCATTCTCTCGTAGAGAAAGTGTTCCGTACGAACATTTATTTCGTCCCGCGTGCCGACGCACTTGCTGAAGGGCTCAAACTCACGAACGCTATCGGCGATGATCATTGAGCTCATCATTGTGTGGAAATAAGCCGCTCAGTGAGTGGAATCGGGCTTGTTCGATCGCTGCAGTCGGATAACAGTAGTTGGAGAGAAGCCGACGAACGGACTCGGTGCTGAATGGCTTGAGCCGGGCTGGTTGCGCTGCTCCCGAGTCGCAAGTTTTTCTTTTCTATGTCAATGAGCCATCTGCAGCTACAACGGCGGCTGTGGCGGTAGCAACAATGCCCGTGAACCCCGTGGACTCGTAACAAAAGGCAGACTTATCTTGGGACTTCTTTTTTTTTTGACGTCATTGTTGAAGTCAGTCTGTGAGTGCCGTTGTCGCCGAAGCTGTCCGACTGACTCGCTGGTTGGCAGGCCGGAGCAGTGAGTGACATTTGGCCTTATTCCGTTGGCAACGCCGGCGCCGCCTGCGCCGTCGTCAGTGTTGCAGAATGTCGTTCCCCAACAGCGACTTAGCCGTCCACTGCAGTAGAAATCCCCGCTTCGCCATCAGAAGTCTGCCCATCAATGAACTCAGCGAAGGAATTCGTGAAAGCTTCTCGGAGAGACAAGGGTCAAGACTCGAGAACAATGTTGAAGATATTCAAGGAACTCTAGTTTCCCCTTTGAAGTTTCTGTAGCGGCCCGAATTCCTTCTGCTTAGGAATGACCTTTCGGCTGAGAAATTTTTCCGCGTGGGTCTCACGTCTTGTCTCAGTCGATATTGAGCCGGGACAGCTCCATCACAGAACGGCTCCTTGATCGAATCGAGGAAAATGTATTCAAGGGAAAATTCCTTTGATTTCAGGCAATCCGCTCAAATGCGACTGTCGAATGCTGGGCTTCTGGGAGTGGTTGAAGGAGCATCCCCAGCTGCAGATGACGGACAGCTCATCCAACCCTTTTTGCACCTATCCCGAACGACTGTCCGGACAGGACGTCAACGTTCTTCATCCGGTAGATTTCTGTCCCGCGCCGGTCATAGGTTCGCTGACCGCGGGCGAGGTTGGCCACAGCAGTGTGAGCCTGTCGTGGCAAGCGGACAACTCGACGTTAGTCGACCAATTTGTATTATCGTTCCATCCCACTTCGCCGTGTCCCGTGGCGGTCTGCTCCGAAAACAACGATTCGCTCCCCCTGCCAGCGATGAAGAGAGCTTTCGTTTTAACGGGACTCTCAGCTGAGCGGGAATATCTGTTGTGTGTGACAGCTGCAGGCCGCTACTTGAGACCGTTGGGGAAGCCGACAGCTTACGCCAACATTCCCTACGACAGCGACCTGGAGAGCAGCGGTCGAAAATGTCTCCACGTCAAAACGAGCCCACGGATCCACAAGCGTCTGATGAGCATGCCCGAGCTGGGCGTTGCGTTGGGCGTCGCTCTGGGCTTGGGTCTGATCGTGTTCACCTCGGTAATCGTCACCGCCGTCCGGCTGAAACGCTCCCGCCGAAAGAAGCGGAGGCCCATCCACGAGGAAGATGTCCCGCCGGAGTATATCTCCTACCGACATTTCTCCATCCCGGGTGGGGACCCGGGCGAAACGCTTCCCTAGCAGGAGCGGGGGGACGAAGAGCTGCAGCAAACTCCTGTCTACCAGGGAGGGCTGTCCAACTACGCTGATGTTGTTGGACAATACCCCCAAGTTCGACGAGCTTCCCTGGTTCAGCAGCAGCAGCTACCGATGGTCCCCCCGTTTCTGTATTAATAATGAAGGAAGTGAAGACACACAACGATCGCAATCTCTCTCATCCGCCGCCTTCATCTAAATGACGCTCCGAAGTTCGCTGCGATTTCTCCGTCTCCTTGAAATTCTCCACATTGCGCTAGCCCCGAACCCTTCTCGAATCCACACGATTCCGCCGCGGAGCTCCATCGTAATACCCCTCGTCATCAGCTCCACGATCCACACGGCGGCGTCCCCATCGATTCCTCGGGGTTCATTTCCACCCAGTTTCTCTCGACGGTCTTCCCACAGCAGCAGCAGCAGCGGGAGCATACCCCGAGAAGGGAAAGGGGGAACAGCGAGGCTATGGGCGCAAGAGAAATAATACAGGAGCGAACTCACTGGTCCGCCGTCCGGCAGGACTTTTTTTTCTGCCGCCAACGCCGGAACGAGAAGCTCCCAAGAGAGGGAGGAACCAGGAGAGAGGTCTGGACCTTGAAGCAATAGACGTCGTCGTCGTTGTTGTATAATAAGAAGGAAAAGCGAAGAAGCAAGGGTCCCTTCTACTTTTCTCCTCAGCGACGCTCCCCGAGTATTCGGTCCGTGTGCTCATCGCCCGTCAGCAGCTTATCGTCAAGTTCCTCTTGTTATCGATCAGTCAGAGGTCGTCGTCTTCGACTTCACCGCTCGTCCTCCCTCATCACGAGAGGTTGAAACTTAAATCATCAGCCTCCATCAAAGGTGATCGGATAAGGGATTGGGTGAAGGGGCTGCCCAACGCCGAGACATGCCGTGGACCATGGGCCCGTCGAGGAATCGTCGTTCGATGGTTTTGAGCCGCGGTATCCGGAAAATAGACGTCAAGGGAGGAGAGCTCCCCCACACGCGCATGATCCCTGAGCGCATACGGAACGTCGATCTCGGGAGGAGGCTGGACCATCCTGAGGTTAGTGAACGGTCTGTCGGCATCTGCTCGCAGCCTCTATGTAAATCGAAGACGCGTATTCGGGGGGGGAGACGCACGAGCATAAAAAATGCCAGAATGACTGCGATTCGTGGGGTTTGGTCCGCTTCCTGGTGTCAGTCACAAGTTGGCTAGGCGCTCTTCTCGCTAACATGCCCATCCCCGTCCCTCGATCTCCTAGCCCCTAGCTGGTTTTTCGCTTTGCGTGCTGCTGTAGTTCTGCCGGGGGGGAGGGGGGAAAGGGGTTCGCTGTTGGTGACTGTACTGTACTGTACACCACCGAGTCACATTACCGAACTGAACGGTGGCTCGCTGGAGATTGAATTCCTCTTTCCGGGAAGATGCTACACCCACTATCTATCTCGCGCAATTTTTCCTCCCGGCTCGAGACAGGGCTCATCGGCCTATCCGAGGAGCACACAAACCACGCGACCGAAGAGGCGAGCCAAGCGCCGACGGAACGACCGACGAGCAGGCCGTCAGAGAGAAAGTACCGAGTACACGCCTCCCGTACATGGCCCTGCTCGGCCTCCTCTGGCGCTCGTGGAGGCGGTCGTCGTCATCAACGTCGACTGAGCCGCCGTCGAGCGTTCCTCTACTACGGCGTCGTCCAAGTCTCTTGTCATGGTGTCGAGCGTTGTAACAGCCGTTTGTTCATTCAGTCTATCACTTCTTGTCCGTTTTCCGACGGGACAACCGCTCCTGGTCGCTCACTAGTTTCGAGCGACCGAAAGTTGGAGCTTTGGGCGTCAGCGCTCGCTCCACGATGCTCTAAGGGAACATTGAGGGTCTCACGGAGAACTTGGAAAACCTCCTCTTCCCTCTCCAGACATTTCACATTTTGTTCCGATCCGATGAATGAGCCGCAGCGGGTGCGGAGAAGTTCTGATTGGTTCTTCGATGATTACCTTGGTAGAGAATCAATTCGATCTCGATCAAGTTCTCCCCAACACTTCCTTGAGTTTGGCCTCTCAGACTCGCTGTCTCGCGCGTCTCGAAGTCTGGGAGGTTCGGGATCCAACCAGATGAGTGAACGTGGTTTCCATCGTCTGCTCTTCCCAAGGTCGCTATCAGCCCCTTGCACGGGCGACTTGTTGACAGTTTTTGAAGCGACCTGCCGAGAGAGTGTTCTCCAGAGCTCTTTTCTGCGCTGACGCGCTCGCTCCCCAGAGAACTTATTATTGTCACCCTAGGTGGAAAAAACGAATCCGAACAAGAGGTCGAGCATCCCTAGAGTCCAGTCCACTTCGAAGTTACTGACTGAGTGCGGCTTCGTGACCTGTATGATCGTTTTCAAAACGACTCCATTATTGTGTGCGAGACGACGACGCGGATTCGGGAATCGCCTCAATGAGACTCTTTGGGAACGCATTTAGTTCAATGGGTTCCATGATTGCTTCGGGAGGCCATGAAATGCATTAACTCCCTGCCGCCGCAGCGGACGACGATTGCAGATGTAAGCACGCGGAAAGTTGTTTACGTGGGAGAAGCTCTCTCAGCGAATTTGCATCTGCGTGTTCGTATGTCCCTGGTCATGTCGCCAATTTCGTATTTCCGTCCGAATTACGGGCCTGTTTTCCAAAACCCACGTGTACAACAGCGATTCTTCCTCTGCTATTCAAGGACTCGTGTACTCGCTCGCTCTTTCAATCCGGGAAAAATTCCCGAGAGCCGTCGCACGGTGCGCGAGGATCCATTTTTGCTTGAGCTCACCTCTTCCCGTTTTTCGACACGTCCAGAGAACTGTAACTGGCGACAATTTCTCTTCCCTGAAGCTCGGGTACTATGCTGCCGTTCGACAACTTCATCAGCGCGATTCGTTCCCGATTTTTGTGCTTGCTCTCTAACCGTCCCCACTCCCGCCGACGAATCCATTCGTTCTTCCTAAGTTGACCCTTTTCCCCCTCATTGATACGAGAGTTGAACGAGCGTTTTGTTGAAACTCGTTCGGCTATTTTTTCCCTCGCTCCCTCAATTTTTAGCTCCCCATCCGTGGTCGAATGCGTGCAGCTTGGTAGAGAGAGCAACGTGAAGCAGCAGAGGAAAAGTAGTAGTCCTCACATGTACGAGTGGGGAAAAGCAAGCGATTGAGCGACGCCTGTTGGGAAGGAGCTTTCTACTTGAGGTTCTTCCATCCATTCGTGTCGAGCCACAAGAAACTTCCCCCTACTTTTAGCGAGCCGCCTGGTTGGGTACCCTGACGGAGAATGTCGTTCGAGAAGCGGCCGTCTAACTGCTCCTCCCCGCCAGCCTGCTCCGCTGCCAGCCGGCTGGCCAGTGAATCGGGTGGGTAAACGGCAAGGCGCTTGCTCGGGAAGAAGGATGCGGGTTGCCGCCACGATCCGAGACACCCTAAAAAGAGGGGGAAATATCGATCATTCCTCAAGGGGCGCCAACAGCGTTGTTGTTTCTTGGTTTCCTCCCGTCAGGATCCTCTTACCCTCAGTCAGTCAGACTCAGTCGCCCACTGACCGACGGGAGATTCCTGCCAAAGTTTTTTGCTGGGGATCGAAGCTCGCGAACTTTTGCTGTTGGATCCCACCGAAAGATTCACTCTCAGGGATAACATCGAAACGGAGTCATTTTCGCGTGAAGGATCTTGGATCTCCCCCAGACATTGAGAGCTTCGCACCTCCCGTCCCTACGAGACACATAATTATTTGAAGTTCCTGTTTTTATCTCGTGGATGATTCCCCGGCGCACAGCGCCCAGAGGCGGAGAACAGCAATGGTACCCATCGAGCTCTTACCGTACACCGAATTTTAAATGGGAAAAAAAACGGGAGAGCAACCTCTACCGACGACATAGTCCCAGGTCTGCTTAAAAACTATCTCTCTGAAGTCAGCGAGCGGACTTCGCCAGACAGCGGAACGGACGGGCTGGGAATGGGACAAAAGGGGCGACAAGGTTAAGACGAGCGGGCCGATAGACCCGGTGACAGCGGTGGTGAAGTTGACCTATATCAGACAAAATGAGGCGGCTTCCACATAGATGAAAGGTCGAAGAGATTTCCCTCATTCTTCTCCCTGGGCGTTTCGCTGGCCACATTATCATTTCGCTTCCTGGCGCTCTCTTGCTCCGCTTATCCACCGCGGCGGCCTACTGCCGCTCGTCCGGCCATTTTCTCGCTTTCGTGATTTCCCGGGTCTTCTTCTCGTCCCGTTCCTCATCCTCCATCGATGCTCCTCTGCCTCATCGTCATACAGAAGACCACAGTAGAGCTCTAACCCTTTTCCCACGCTCTTCTTCCCTCTTCTTCCTGAACTTCCACCGTCCGCAAACTGACCACAAAATCCGAATCCCGCGATGGTTCTGTGCGGCAAGGACTCGACTGCTAGAGCCCAGGGGAGCGAGACACGGAAACAAGAGCCACATCCGACGGCAGCGGCGTCGCGTCGTTGAAAAAGCGAAATCACAAAATAAATTGCTATCCTTGGAGAGTAATCCTTTTGTTAACGGGTCTTGTTTGACGTACACTCTATCATCTTGTGCGCGTGAGTGTAGATGGGTGGGAGGGTCGATCGTTGGGAGCCTCCGTTGGTTTACACTCTGCTCGTCCCCAGCTCCCATTCCCTCATCCAGCCGGTCGGTCCTCCCCGACCCAGGACGAATAGCATGCTCCCCCGCCGTCGCCCTCTGTATAGGGTGTCGCCGCGGCTCGGTCGATGGATCGCCTGTAGATAACGAGCCCTCCTATTCATACTCGAGAGAGTTTAATCCTTCTCCTCTTGCAGCGGCCGCGGTACCGGAGGACCTCGAGCACCTTACCTCTGATCATTCCTTGGTTCGGTCGTCGTCGGTCGGTGCGGAGCTTCCGCTCCCGGTAGAGTCTTCTCCCGGACGAACACCTGCGATTCAAGGAGGTGAACAAGTTAGTCAGCCGACCAGCCGTCTACCTAAGGATTGGGAGCTGACCCGTGAGCGAGCTGCTATTTGCCGAAGCCCGGAGGCTCTTCTCGAGCTATCGCTTGTTTTTTGTTTGATATCTGCCTAAATGAGATCCGGCAAGACGAGGAAGACCGATAGGTAGAGACTTCTGAATTCACTCAAAGCCCTACCCAAGGAGGAAGAAGGCCCCGAGCAAGGAGACGAGCGAAGAAGGCGACGGAACACCTTTGAGGAATTTCCTAGAGAATGCTGTCGAGCAATTTTCGGTGGATGCGATTGAACCTCGCGATTGATCGCAGGAATAATCGCCGTCAGCGCGATATGGAACGTGCAATACCGAGGAGATGTGGAAGAGTTTTTTCTATTTCTCAAAAGGAGTTTGTTGTAAATGTTTGTGAATATTATAAGATTAAGGCTCTTAGTCAGACATACAGGTACCAAGAAAGATATCAACCTAACTCGAATCCTAAAATGACAGATCAGGATATATAAATATACATAAAGGTGAAAGAGAGAGTCTAAATATATATGAGCAACAATGTGTTTCCACGAACATGTAAGATGCACGAAAAGTCGCCTCCACGAAACTGTGTTCATGATTCATGCTGATAACGACTATCCTCCTGTACGAAAAGGCCGGTATTACATGGAGGGGATGGACTGGAGGTGACACTTTCGAGCATCGAGGAGGAAAGTGGCCAAAGTCAAACATTTTGACGCGGTGGACAGCCGCTCAAGAGATAGATTTCATTTCAAGGCGTCCTACTAAGACAGCAAGGGAACCAAAAGGTCACTGTCTCGGTTGACAACGATCCACCGCGATTGAAAGCCAATTCTGACGTTGAGGCACTTAGAGGAGACATCGAAACGTGGAAGATCGAGCAGCGACAGCAAATATTTGTTCGAAACGGTTGCTAAAAATTCTTTGAGAAGTCGACATTGTCGTCGCGGTGAATCGCAATACTGTACGCAGCTTCACATTTGAATGGAGCTGAATGAAACAATGTAAATAAACACGAATGAGAGGTATTTCGAGGAACGAATACAATCTTATGGTTGCAAGAATATCGGCTTCTCTCTATCCCTCCGACAGATGTTTCCGCATCAGCGGTGCGAGAGGCCAAGGAGTTTGTCATCCGCTTCGAGATCGACACGTCGTCGAGCGTGTCATCATCGAGTCCAGATTATACTACTGAAACAATTCTCACAGCGTACGTCATTATCTAATTTGCATGGAGATCAGCATC